AAAAAAAAAAAAAAGAGGAAAAAAAAAGAGGTGACTGATCCTTGACTGCAATGTGGTCCGCTCCACACGATGTCAGTGCTCCACTGCCAGTGGGGGCGGCCGCCTTCCCGTGTCCTCGTGGCTACGACAGAGAGCGGCAGTGCTTGGCGTCACTCTGCCCGGCCTCGGTGGATCAGCATGCCTCGCTCTGCGTTTGCGAGACCGCAATGCGAGGGTTCTGTCTGGAGTGAAGTAGTCAAGCGGTCGATAACCTAGCACCCATATCAGTCCAGCCGAGCCGATGTGTCACCCCTCCCCAACCTCCCTCCATCCCCTCCGGTCCTCCCCTCCCCTCCACCCCAGTTCTCCTCGCTCTCCCATCTGTCCGTCCTACTCCATCCAGTCTGCGGTCTTTCGAATCCTAACCAGCCTCGTCGCTACCCCAAGCGACCGCCATCAGCCAGCTCTTTGCCCCGATAGCACCTCCACGTCCAGTCTCGACCGTGTGGGCTGCCATCGCTCCAACCAACCTTCTCCGCGGCCAGCCTGAAAATCAGCAGCAACCATGCTCAAGCGCGCCGTGGCATCGCTCACCAAGGACTCGTCCTCGGGCGAGAATGGCCACACCAAGGCGATCAGCTCGCCTGCCACCGGCAACGGCACTGGCAGCGGTCACACCACGCCCATCCAGCCCCCTTCGGCCAAGTCGACCGTCGACTCGAACATGAGCGAGAGCACCGACAAGAAGTTCCGTCTCTCGCACATCTTCTCCGGCCACTCGCTTCCCGGCCGTCGATCCTCCTCGCGTGCCAGCAGCATGGACGAGCCACGTCCCAGCGCCATCAAAAAGGCGCAGCGCATCGAGGAGAAGGAGCGCAAGGCCATCGAGCAGGAAAAGATCCGTGAAAAGATCGCTTTTGCCCGTCGTCAGTCCGATCTACGTGCTGCCAAGATTGAGACCCCCGAACAGCGAGCGCGCTACGGGAGCCAGTACCCCTCCGAGTGGAACAAGGACCATGATCGCTGGGCCAGCATCGCATCCATTGCCGACGATGCCGAGACGGGAGAAACCGTCACGGTTCGGGCGCGAATCCACACGATCCGCGATGTCAGCTCGCATCTCGTCTTCATCGTGCTGCGTCAGCAGATCGCCACCATTCAGGCAGTGCTTGCTGAGGAGTCCGACATCATCACCGGTCACATGGTGCGTTGGGCAAAGCGACTTCCGCTCGAATCCATCGTCATGGTCCGCGGTGTCCTCCAAAAGCCGCGCGAGCCCATCACCGGTGCTACGACGCAGCACGCAGAGATCAAGGTGCACGAGCTCTACCTCGTGGCTCCCACCAAAGAGGCTCTACCCTTCAACGTGTACGACGCCGACCTAGTCATCAAGAAGAGCGACGACCACGACAGCCCCAGCAGCGCCGATGCCAGCGGCAACAACACCGACACCGAGCACGACGGCCTGCCCCAGGATGAGAACCACTCGGTCGAGAGGCACGAGGGTCCCGTCATCACCCAGCGCGTCCGCCTCACCAACCGCATCCTCGACCTGCGCACGCCCACCGCCCAGGCCATCTTCCGCGTCAACGCAGCCATCTGCAACGCCTTCCGCTCCCACCTCGACAAGAGCGACTTTATCGAGATCCACACGCCCAAGCTCCAGGGAGGCGCCTCAGAGTCCGGATCGAGCGTCTTCATGCTCGACTACTTTGGCCGTCCGGCGTTCCTGGCGCAGAGTCCGCAGCTGTACAAGCAGATGTGCATCGCCGCCGACTTTAGGCGCGTGTACGAGATCGGACCTGTCTTCCGCGCCGAGAACTCCAACACGGCGCGCCACCTTACCGAATACACTGGTCTCGACATTGAGATGGAGATCGTGCACTACTACGACGCCATCCGCGTCATCGACGGCATGCTCAAGAACATTTTCACGGTGCTGCGCGACAACTTCAAGGCGGAGCGCGAGCTGATCAAGCGCCACTTTCCGCACGAGGACCTTGTCTATCCCGAAGACACGCTGATCCTTCCCTTTGCCCAGGGCGTGCGTATCCTCCGCGAGTCCGGTTTCGTCGAAGAGGACGGAAGCCTGCCCAAGGAGGACGAGGATCTGAACACGCGCGCCGAGATCCGGCTTGGCGAGCTGATCAAGGAAAAGTACAATACCGACTACTACATTCTGGACAAGTTCCCCTCGTCCGTCCGCCCCTTCTACGCCATGGAGGACAAGGAGAATCCCAAGGTGACCAACTCGTTTGACATCTTCATCCGCGGCCAGGAGATCTGCACGGGCGGCCAGCGCATCCACGACATTGACGAGCTCGAGGCCAAGATGCACCGCCTCTCTATCCCGGCCAAGGGCATGGCCGAGTACCTCGAAGGCTTCCGGCTGGGTGCGCCTCCGCATGCCGGATGCGGTATCGGCTTGGAGAGGCTGGTGATGCTCTATCTCAATCTGGGCGATGTGCGCATGGGCACGCTCTTCCACCGCGACCCGCGCAGTCTGCCGCTGCAGAAGAACGTCGAGGACGAGCTGCGACACCCCGAGGCCAGCACCAACCCGCCGCCGTGGAAGCATCCGCGCGTGGCGCTCAAGGCGGACGCCGAGAGCGAGCTGCGCGACATGCAGCCGCTGGAGAAGCTCATCGCCAACTACGGCGATGCCTCCAACACGGCTTGGCTCGACGACCGATACAAGACCTGGAGACATCCGGACACGGGAGCTGCCGTCGGGTACTCGCCGTTCAAGGGGTACGCGATGATCATCGGCGACCCGCTGTGCGACCGGACGCAGCTGACGCAGGTGGTGTCGGCGTTCCTGCACTTCATCAAGAAGGAGGCCAAGCTCAAGCCCATCTGGATGATGGTGAGCGAGGATGTCGAGGAGATCCTCGGCGGTCGGCTCAACTGGTGTACGCTCTCGTGTGCGGCCGAGGAGCGTGTGGAGGATCCGGCGAAGAATCCGGCGCGCCACGATACCGAGATCCAGAAGAAGGTGCGACACGCGCGCAAGGAGGGTGTGCGCATCCAGGACTACACGCTCAAGGAAGACGTGCCGGAGGAGGTGGTGCGCGAGACGGACGAGCGCATCGACGACTGGCGCAACAACCGCAAGGGCGAGCAGGTGCACATGACGGACGTGCATCCGTGGCGCGACATGTCGCACCGCGTCTACTACATTGCGCGCGATGCGGGCGGCAAGGTGTGCGCCATGGTGGTGCTGCACCAGCTCTCGCCGCAGCACGGATGGCACATCAAGTGGGCACTCGACTTCCCCGGTGCACCCAACGGCACCATCGAGCATGTCATCCTCCACGCGCTCGAGAACAACGCTGGGTCCAAGATGACCTTTGGTGCGTCGGCCACCTCGACGCTCGTCGCCAAGCACGGCCTGAGCAAGATGACGGTCAAGGCGCTCACCAAGGCGTATTCGTCGATCGCCGAGCACAACCGTCTGACCAACAAGGGCGAGTTCCGCCAGAAGCTCGGGGCGGTCGAAGACAGAGTCTACATTTGCTACCCGCGCCACGGCCTATCGCCCGCAGGCATCCAGGCGATCGTCGGATTCTTCAAGCAGTAGAAACGTTGTGACCAGAGCTGGACCTTTTCGCGAGGCATGGTGCGCGGCCGTATACCTATACACTCGGACGAGCAATCACTTGGCCGGCACACGTTCGCGATGTAAATAGCATTGGATCTGCATATGCTTTTCTCTCAGCGTACGAGTGGCGGGGTTAGCGGTGCAGACAAAACGTGGGCGAGGGGAGGGAGGGACGCGAGCTGTCCGAGTTGGCCGATGCACTGAAAGCAGCCACTCGTCTGTTCCGTTCCTGATTCGATGGCGATGCGGTTGCTGAGAGAGCGAGCCGATCGGGATCTGCAACGGGGAGAGATGAGCAGCCCACGTGAGGATGTCTGGCCGGCGAAGAAGGGGGACGTCGGGGATCTATAGCGGCCAAGTGTCGTCGTTGAAAGCGTGCTTTTTGACGTTTGGTGGGCACGTTCCATGCAGGCGTCCAAGCGAAACGTGCACAGCGCCCAACCGGCGAATTCCGATCCGACGAGCGTTGCACCCGCTCCTCATCCTAGTCCTGCTCCGTCGCATGCCGGCATCGCTTAGCAGCGTAGCATAAATAGGCGCATCTGCCTCCTCTTGTCCTCGAGTGTACGTTTCATCCTTTCTTCTGCTTTCTTCAGGCCTCTCTGATCCGGACTGACTCGCTTTGTGGCACTGTACACCATGGTTTCTTCGTCTCACTTGGTTGCGCTGCTGGCGCTCGCATGCGGTGCTCAGGCTGCTCCTGCTTGGGTGTTGCCGTTCTGGAACCCGTTCGCCATGCAGGCCAAGAGCTACTCGTTCAGTGTAAGTGCACCGCTGCCGCCCACGCGCGATGCTCTGCATTCAAAAGGCTGACTCGAACCCTCACCTGGCGGGCTTTCACAGACCTACACGGGCTTCTTCAAGTACGACACGCAGGAGGGCACGTCGCTCGCGGCGGTGGCGCCCAACTTTGGCCTGCGCGACAATGTCACCTGGGACGGCCTCGCGCGTACGCTGCTGCAGCTCAACATCGACGGTGCCGCGCACGACGGCTCGTCGTACAAGCTCGTCTTTGCCGGACGACACGGTCAGGGCTACCACAACGTGGCCGAGTCCAAGTACGGCACGGCGCTGTGGGATTCGTACTGGTCCGAGCTCACCACGGACGGCAACTTGACGTGGGGGCCGGACGCTCGGCTGACGCCTCTGGGTATTCAGCAGGCGCAGGCGGTGCACGATGGTTGGGTGGCCATGCTCAAGCAGCGCGACTCGGCTCCTCTGCCCACCAAGCTCTACTCGAGTCCGCTCAGCCGCGCACTCTCGACTATGGAGATCTCGTACGACCACATCCTGCTCAACAACCCCAATGCCACCGTCGAGACACCCGCCGCGAACGGCAATGCGATCGACTCGATCCTCGGCGGCATCGTCGCCAAGCTTGGCGAGGCGAGGTACGTCAAGCCCGAGATCAAGGAGCTCTTCCGCGAAGAGTACGGCGAACATACCTGCGATCAGCGCCGTACCCGGTCTCAGATCGCCAAGGACTATCCGAACGTGCGCTTCGAGGCGGGATTCAGCGAGGAGGACCAGCTGTGGACGACGACGCGCGAGCAGGATGCGCACCTGGACGCGCGCATCCAGCAGGCACTCACCCAGGTCTGGAACGAGGCCCAGCAGGATCAAGTCATCTCGCTCACCTCGCACTCGGGCGTCATGCAGAGCCTGTTCCGCGTGACGCACCACTACCCCATCAAGCCCAGCACCGGCGCGCTCATCCCGCTCATCATCAAGGCCACGCCCCAAAAGTGAAGCGACCCCCACCTCACTAGAAGCAAAGCTGGGTCCAGGCTTAGACCGTTCTGCTAGATCATGCGTTTTCGAGAATTGTGGATTGCTAAGTTACAAGATAGGATGCTACGAACGGAATGTGCGGGGGAACTAGTTCCAGATCTTTGCCGACTGCTTCTGCTTGCCGAGGTTCCACTTTTCGGCGCGCTCGGTGTCGATGAGAACGGCGACCTTTCCGTTGTTGTCGCCGGTGAAGAGGCGGAGGAAGGCGTCCTCTGCGCCGTAGACGCCAAAGGTGACGTCTTCGCGGTTCTTGATCTTGCCCTCTGCGAGCATCTGGGGGATCTCGTTCATGAACTGGCCGAGCCACTTGGGGATGAAGGAGCTGACGATGAAGCCCTGGTACTTGAGCTCCTTGGTGACAATGTTGAACAGGTTCTTGGGGTAGACGACGTCTTCGGGCTTGTCCACGTTGTAGCCCGAGATGTAGCCGCAGGCGACGATGATGCCGTAGCGAGCGGCGACGTTGATGTACGCCTCGAGCTGGTCGCCACCGACGTTGTCGTAGTAGTAGTGGATGCCCGTGTCGGCAGCGAAGGCCTTGAGCTTGGCGGGGAGGTCCTCGGTCTTGTAGTTGATCGTCTCGTCGGCACCGAGCGAGCGGACAAACTGGCACTTTTCGTCCGAGCCCGCCGAGGCGATGACCTTGACGCCGGCCTGGTGAGCGATCTGGGTGACGAGCTGTCCGACGGCACCGGCGGCACCCGAGACGAACATCTTGTTGCCCGGCTTGAGGTCGCCGATGATCTCCTTGATGGACATGTAGGCGGTCATGCCGGCCATACCGGCGGCGCCGAGGTAGGTGGTGATGGAGAGGCCGTTGTTGAGGTGGGCGGCGTCGAACTTGCGGAACATCTTGGCGGCGTCGGCCGAGTGGATGGTGTACTCCTCGATGCCGAGCGACCAGACAAAGACGACGTCGCCGGCGGCGAGGCTGTCGACCTCGGAGCGCACGACCTCGGCGATGCCAATGGCGGTGACGGGCTTGCCGACTTCGTAGGCGGGGGTGAAGTAGCCGATGTCGCCCTTCATGCGGTTGCGCATGGTGGGGTCGAGCGAGACGGCGATGTTGCGTGTGAGCACACCGCCGTTGAGGGGGACATTGTCGATGTCGAGCTCGACCGAGCTGGGCTTGGTGGTCACGCCGGGCTTGGGCAGGCCGGTGGGCTGCTCCTTGTTGAAGAGGACCTGGTGGTTGGTGACCATTTTTGATGTGAGTGAGGGGGGGATTATGGATGTGGTTGGAAACGATGGCGCCGAGGTGAGGCTGGCTCGAGCTCTATATACTGTTCGACGACGGTCTTGGGCGCGAGATGTTGCGAATCGGGGCCGTGGCCACTACGATTCGGCTATGGACTCAGGCATCAATCCATCCATGCCACACAGCTAAAGTCCGAGCGCAGGCGGCGCCACGATGGATCGTGCATGAACGGCGTGGCGAGCGTTGCTGCCTGTGCTGCCACGCGGCCTGGCCTGTTGGCGTCATGGAAGCCGAGTGGCCTGCAGGAAAGGGGCAGAAGGGCGAGGAAGAAGACCGGCTCGCCTGGCTGAACCGGCGCCGGCAGATCTTTGGCTGGACTGGGCCGAAGCCGAGTCGCACCAAAAGTTGCCAAAACGGTGCAGAGGTGCAGCTGCTCGATGACACACGCTTCGACACACGGCCCAGCTGGTCCGCTGCACCCGAGTCCCGACGAAACTGCCAGCCTGCCTGCCTTCAATGCATTGCCGATCTGTCGATCTTACAAGGATGAAATTCCGTACGGGAGGCCGCTCCGGTCGGGTATCGGAGATGCACATCCGCGGCGTTGTGGAGGAAAGGGAGCGGCGGAGATTTCGACATTTCGACTTCGGCTCGCAGCTGCAGTCACAGCTCACAGAAAGAGTCAGGCTGTGCGGCCTCGAGTTGCCGAAGACTGCAGTGCATGCAAAGCTTGATGAAATTACGCTCACAGATACCGACGTCTGACAGCTACGCCGCCACCACCACCACCATTCGCGCAGCCACATACATACACCCTACTCTACGTCCTACCTTGAACCGCCTCAGGTGTTGCACGCGCTCGCTGCTGGCGATCAGACTCGCCACCATGTCGAGCAATCCAGCCAACTCGGCTTCGGCTTCGTCTTCTTCCGCTGCCGCTTCGTCCGACGAAAGCCGCTGGAAGAAGTGGGGCAAGACCGCCTTCGACAAGTCGATCGTCGTGTCGGACTGGGCATCCGGCTACGCCAACTCGGCATCGGCCAAGATGGGCGGCGAGCGCTTCTGGCCCAAGAGCAACGACTTTCCCGAAGAGATTGCAAAGTGCGAGCGCATCCTGCGTGCCTTTACCGTGGAGGGCATCGAGACCAAGCCCGCCGAGAAGAAGGACGCCTCGGAACCCACCAGCGATGCAGAGGCAGAGACCGACGCCGAGGCCAAGAAGAAGGACGGCTTCATGCACAAGAAGCGCAAGGTACTTCGCAAGATCCCGCCTGCTGTCATCAAGCGCGCCAAGGGTATCGTCATCTACACCGCCATGCGCAGCGGCATTGCGCCGTTCGGGGGTGCAGGAGGCGCCGGTCTCATGCTCGCGCGCATGCCCGATGGAAGCTGGAGCGCTCCCTCGTCCATCAGCCCCAACAACCTCGCCGTCGGCCTGCTGCTGGGCTTTGACATCTTTGACGTGATCCTCGTGGTCAACACCGAGCGCGCCATGGAGTCCTTCAAATCCCACAAGGTGACGCTGGGCGCCGAAACCGCCGTTGCTGCCGGTCCCTTCGGCACGGGCATCAGTGGCGAGATGGGTATCGACCGCAGCCCCGTCTTTTCCTACGTGCGCTCGCGCGGTCTCTACGGCGGCGTCGAGGCGATGGCACAGGCGTTCCTGCATCGATTTGACGAGAACGAGCGCATCTACTACTGGCCCGGCATCACGGCCACGGACATCTTCGAGGGCAAGGTGCGCAAGCCGCCGATGGCTGATCCGCTCTACCGTGCGCTGCGCGATGCCGAGACGGGCGTGGCACAGGGCGACTCGCTCGAGCGCTGGGTGTACGAGCCCGTGCATGCGCCGCCCAACATCGCAGTGCGCCAGCTTCAGCAGCAGGAGTCCGCCGAGCTTCTTCAGGATGGCGAGAGACTCAAGCTACCTCCGACGCCCGAGGAGCTCGAGGCCATGGAGGAGGCAGGCATCCCGGACGACTTTGACATCGCCCTCGAGAAGAGGGAGGCCGAAGAGGCGAGAGTCAGGGCAGAGCAGGAGCGCAGAGAGATCTTTGCCCTCCCGCCTCCGCCGCGCCACAAGCAGGTAGAGCGATACTGGGAGTCCAGGGGCACGGTACCGGGCGGAAAGAGGCGTGTCGCTCCACCTCCCTCGCCGCTGCATACCGAGGCTGTCGTTGGCGATCGCGTCGAAGCAATAGGAGAAGGTGACTTGGAGACGGTCGATCTGGGCGAGCAGGAGAAGCCGCCACTGCCGCCGCGCAACGCCAAAGCCGTCGAGAGCCTTGCAGACGAGCTGGAGGCCACTGGTCTTCAGGACGATGTGCCCGCGTACGAGGCCGGGGAAGCTTCGATGCCGCTGGATGCGGAACATACGCCGTCCTCGCCGATCAAGCCGTCGCTGACCAAGGAGCTTGGAGAGGATACGATCTCAAGGTCCAGCTCGCTTTCGCGGCCATCGCGGCCGCCTCGACGAGCGGCACGAGCGGCGACTGCGGCTGTAACAGCGTCGGCATCTCCCGGGCCAGCAACCCGGGCGGACGGTGCAGCGCTGCAGCTCTTCATCGATTGGGACGAGACGATTACGGCGACGGACACGCTTTCACTCATCGCACCGCCCGAGGGCGAGCAGGAGCACGGCCCGGCGTTTTCGCACTATACCGAGGCGTACCTGTCGGACCTCAAAGCGTACGAGACCTCGTTTGGCGAGCGGAACACGTGGGATCGTCAGCTCGACTTTTTGGCAGAGATGGACAGCGTCGAGGTGGAGTCGGTCACGCGCGTCCAGGATGGCGGCCTCTTCAAAGGCGTCACGCGAGCATCGCTTCTGGAACGCGCGCAGAAGGTCGAATTCCGCACGGGGTGGCAAGACTTCTACGCCTGGCTTGGTGAACACCGGGATGTGGTAGCCGAGATCATCAGTGTCGGTTGGAGCGCTGCGTTTATCCGACACGCGATCGAGTCCCACTCGCCCACCCCCGACCCGGTGATCAGGGAGGTCTGGGCGAACGAAGTCGAGATGGACGATGGTGTTGGCACGGGTGCACTCACCAAGGCTGCTGACACGCACGTTCGAACAGCACACGACAAGGTGCGCGTCATGAACCAGCGCGCCACCGCCACCACTGTGTTTATCGGCGACTCGACCACCGACTTGCCTAGCATGCTCAGCGCACACTTCGGCATCATCATCAAGAACAAGACCGACTTTGAAGAGTCGTCCATCAATAGGTGCATCCAGACCACCAAACCCCCGCTTACAAAACTCTACACCGACCATACAGAGTTCCTAGACCAGATTGCCAGCATCGAGGCCGAGAAGCGCGGTGTGCTCGTTCGCGTCGATGACTGGATCCAGGCCCTCGCAGTCATCCAGGCGATCGAGAAACACACTTCGTCCACATAGCCTGCCTGCAATATACGATTTCAGCATGATCTACCTTGGTTTGCTCGTGGGGTCTAGTGATGCAGGCCAAGCTTGGATAGCAGGGCCTTGCCTTTGCCCACACGCTCTGACTGCGTCTCGGGTGGGGCTGCTGGCGAAGTGGGCCGGCTGGGTCGAGGCGGTTGCGGGGGCACATTGAGACCCGCACTGGCCTGGACTCTCGCTGGACTGGACGACGGCTGGCTGGGATGCACATGCGTGGGCTGCGCCTCATCGACGCGTTTGGGCTCCAGCTCCTGAATCCTCTCCTTGGACAGGATGAGCTTGAGCTTGCTCGGCGGCTTGTACGACGCTGTGGCCGCACGTCCAGAGCTTCCTGGCGACGCAGGCGCTTCGTTCGGCGACGGCGGATCGAGCCGAATCACACGCCTGCGCGAAGCCGTCTCTGGTGTCGGGGAGCAAGGGACCGTCGTCTCGGCGTCGAGCGTCTGCACGTACTGGTACAGCTCATCTTCAATGCCGCTCGTGCTGGCGGGCCGACCGTACACCGTGCCCTTGGCGTCGTCCGGCAGCCGGTAGTAGGCCGCCTTGATCGCCGCCGCGATCTGCACCAGCTTGGGCGCGGTCTCGGGCGAGTCCGAGTGGAGCGCAATCAGGTACATCGACTGGCCCCCGGCGTCGCACCGCAGCAGCGAGAGTGCATGCTCGACATACTCGTCGATCGCACCCCACTTGGAGACGAGCATCTCGTTGGGCTCGAGGCTGGCAATCCGATCCACCGTCGCGGCGTCGTAATCTTGACCCGAGGCTCGCCCGAAAGATGGCTGCCGACCACCAGGCGTAGCGGGGCTGGATCCGGCGTTGCCCACACCAGGAGGGGCGTGAGGCTGATGGCGAGCCTCCATCTCGCGCCAGGCTGCAGTGTACCCCTGCATGCTGAGGTCGGTGGGGATGCCGCTGGTGCACATGTACAGATTGCGCTCGCCACGCGCGGCGATCTTGTCGTCGTACTCCTGGTCGAGCAGTGCACTGAGCGTCATGACGAGCGCCACTTCGAGTCCCTTCTTATCCTGAACGTCGAGCCGGTTCAAGTTGTAGTCCATGAGCTGCAGAGTGCCCGGCTTGCCCTTTGCGACGGGTGGGCGATACTGCGCCGCGAGCACGCTCGGATCGGGCTTGCGGATGACCTCGCACACGTACGCCGACTGTGTAGACGAGCCTCTGGACGGGCTTCCTTCTCGCTTCCACGAAAACTCCTCGACCTGCTGCGAGTGCACGTCGCCAAAGTGGAAGCGCCACGATTGCTGGAAGGTCATGGAGCGCTTTTCCAGCTCGACTTCGGCATCGGGGTTGTAGAGCTGGATCTGCTTCTTCTTTGTGGTGGTGTACGGCTGTGATATGGACGCGAGCAGGCAGTCTTGGATCAAGCCGTCGAGCAAGATGGAGCTGTACTGCGTGTAGTTGGTCGCCCTGACGCGGGTGTAGCTCGGCGTGAGCTTCGAGTAGTCGATCGATTCGAGCGCAAGAGCGCGCTGAGCAGCAACGTCGGGGATGGTACCGGAAAACGGCGTCGGTTTTGAGCTTGCAGGCTTGCTAGCATCATCGTCGGTGTCCTTGGAAGGTACAGGCGGAGCTGCGCTTGCACTGGGCCCGGCCGAGCTCGGGTAGATATCGACGATGCTTGGCTCGTTTCTCCTGCGCACGAACTGGAGCGTAAAGAGCGCTGCGTCGAGAGCCATCCTTTTGTTGGAGATGAGAGATGATGGTAGCTGGTCAGGGAGGACCTCTCTGAATGGAAGGCGAGGGCGCTCGGCAACGACACTCAGCCAGGGTCCAACGCTCAAAGCTGTGCATCACATGCACAGCCCTTCCTCCCTCCACAAATCCGCTTCCCACGGCTCCATCACCGCGGAAGAGCGTGCGGAACGGTCTAACAAAAGTCGGAAAGTGCCTTCGCCTTGCTCCACCTTCAGCTCCGTATCGAAAAGCTTCTTCTCGCGCATCTTGCCAAAGTCATCATCGACACCGACGCACCGTTTGGAGTAACAGAGCAGCAAGAACGATGGCATCCAGATCAGTGCACCGCTCCAGCCTACGGTCTCTCGCGCGAAGGGAAGCTCCATCGACGCTCCGACTCAACTCGACATCGTCTGCCTCTCCGCCAGCCTCTCGACCAGGCCTGCCAGCCAAAGGACAAGGCTTGAACCAGCCCAAGGCCATCTTCTGGGGGTAAGACCAAGGCCGCTGCTACGAGAATCTACCCGAACACGCTACTTACTTTTCCTCTTTCGGCGTCTTGCAATGGTCAGGTGGGCTGCCCTCGTTGTCGTGGCCGGATTCGGTTACTTCACGGTCAAGTCGAACAACACGGCCAAGAAGCGCGACTTTATGATCAAGCAGGGCCAAGAGCTTCAGCAGAGAAGAGGAGCCGAACAGGGTGACGACGCTGCCGCCTCGTCCATGCCAGTCCGTAAGTAGCGATTTGCGCACGTCGTGACGAAGTTTAAGGCGTACGATGAGATCGCTAATGACCTTTCTCTCGCGTGTTCGTTTGTGCTCGACAGTCATGTCGTCAAGCAACCAGGAAAAGTACGCACAGTCTCCGCTGCAGAGCCTCACTGCTGCTTTCAATCGCCAGACAACGCAGCGTTCGCGCAACACCGACTCTTCAAGCCAAGAATGAACGCGATGTATCCCACAGTAGGAGCCTCATGAACGGCCGTTGTTGTGCGTCACCACTTGTGCTAATGCATCTGTGCCTCTACTTGCGTCGACACCGGGACCGAAAGGGCTAGGAAGCACAGTAAGCAGGATGGGACCGAGGGGCAGAGCGAGGCTGAGCTTGGAAGGGGAGGGAGAGACGATCGGGATCGCCGATGCGCATACCGATCCGGATAGAGGCCGTGGTGAGGCCGGGAATTTCGCGCCACCGTTTACCGGCAAGCGAAGGGAGCCGTACCGGACTTGGACTCGGCCTCGATGCTCGCTCGACCCCACACTTGGTTTCTCGCAATCCACTCCTCACCCCTTTCCCTCCTCCATCGCACCACTCTTTTACCTCACAATGTCGTTCCCACAGCCATACCGCGGCTTTGCTGAGGCCAAGTACCACAAGCTCACGCTCGCCGCCGAAGGCGTGCTTCTGCTCTCGTTCAACCGCCCGCCCGTCAACGCGTGGATCGATCCCAAATGGCGTGAGCTCGCGGCGATCCTGCGCACGGTGCGCGACGATCCGGACGTCGCATCGATCGTCGTCGCCGGCGAAGGACGATGCTTCACTGCAGGCCTGGATCTGAATGAGCAGAGTCTGGGCTCGGTGATTGCCGAGCTGCCCGATGGCGCGCGAAAGGCGATTGCGATGCGCCGCCACATCGCCGACTTCCAGGACGCCATCTCGTGGTTCGAGCACGTCGAGAAGCCCGTCATCGCAGCTGCGCACGGCGTCGCTTTTGGTCTGGCTATCGACATCATGTCTGCCTGCGATATTCGTTATGCCACCAAGGATACGCGCTTCAGCATCAAGGAGGTCGACGCCGGTCTGGCTGCGGACATCGGAACGCTGCAGCGCTTCCCCAAGATTGTGGGCAACGACTCGCTCGCAAGAGAGCTGTGCTACACCGCGAGGGAGTTCGACGCCAAAGAGGCACGCGAGATCGGATTCCTCAGCAAGGTCGTCGACGGCGGCAGGGATCAGGTCGTCGGTAAGTCCCACTTTCCAGCCGCCTCTGTGAGATGATCTGAGCATATCTGACTGGTTTTTGCTTTTGTGATACGATTGTACAACAGCCGAGGCGGTCAAGACAGCTGCACTCATCGCTTCCAAGGCACCCGTAGCCGTGCGCGGCACCAAGATCTACCTCCTCCACAGCCGCGACCACAGGTAAATTTCGGTCCCGCTATCACGCCGTGTTCCACTCATGCTGACCCCAACCACCTTGCTCTCTGCCTTTTGCAGCGTGGAAGAGGGCCTCAAGTACGTCACGGCGCTCAACTCGGCGCTGCTACAGTCGGACGACATGCCCATGGCCATGCTTGCCGTCATGCAGAAACAGACGCCCAAGTTCTCCAAGCTGTGAAATTCCCCAAATGCGCGCTGCAATACGATCGCCATTGGCCGGTTATGATCCCTCCTGCTCAGTGTCTAGTGTGGTGTGTGCGTTTGCGAGTGTTGCGACTTTGAGTGTTTGCGGGTGCTGAGTCTGGGGTGGGATGGGATAGAGGATGAGGTGTTGCTCCACATGCGCGAAAGGACCCTTTCCCGACGCACTTTGCCGACGCACGCGCCAAATTTCTCCGCGTCTCCTCCTTCCCACCGCGCCTACACTCTGACCTCGTCACCACCACATATTCGCGGGCATTGCGGGGCGACACTTTCACACGATGGGCGATTCATCGTACAAGGGCGTCTCGGCCTCCCAGGACAGCCGGTTCACGGACAAAGAAGCGTCGCTGCTGCGCAAGCTCAAGTTCCCCCGCCACTTTGACACCAAGGTCGACATGCACAAGGTGGAGCTTTCGGTGATGAAGCCCTGGATCGCACGGCGCATCACCGAGCTGCTGGGCTTCGAGGACGAGGTGGTGCTCGAGTATGCAGTGGGTATGCTCGAGGAGGGACGGTATCCTGATGCCAAGAAGATGCAGATTCAGCTCACGGGATTTTTGGAGGCCAGCACAGCCGAGTTCATGGCCGAGCTGTGGGAGCTCCTCATTTCGGCACAAGCGAGTCCAGGGGGTGTACCGCAGAGGTTTGTGGAGGAGAAGAAGCAAGAGTTGAGGAGCAAGAGGGAGGAGGGCGAGAGGGTTGTGCGCGAGGCGAGGGAGAGGGCAACGCGTGCAGCCCAGGCAGCAGGATCATCCAACGATGCGCAAAGTGCCAAGCGAAGGTCTAGATGGGATGCCGGTGCGCCTTCGGATTCTTCGTTCAGGGGACAAGCTGATTCACGACCACCGGCATATGCTCCTCCGCGGGGTAGCGAGCCGTACAGGCGGTCGGATGCCGGACGCAGCTTCCGGGATCGTAGCGGAAACACGATGGAGCGCAGTCGAGATTCGGGCTGGGGCGTGCGCGGCTCCGATGCCACACGACCCGCCGATTCATGGCGTCCTTCGCGAAGGTCTCCCTCGCCACCACCAAGACGATCGCCTTCACCGCCGCCGCGAGACGAGCGCCGACGATCGCGCTCACCGTCTCGATCGCGCTCCGTGACTCCAGACTACCGCGCGGCGATCCGCGAGCGCAAGGCCAAAAGAGCAGCCACCACAAGGCGGTCTCGATCGCGCTCGTGCTCGCTCTCGCCATAGCCTCGCCCTCCAAGTACAGGCGCCCACCAAACTCGCGACGATCAGATCGTCTAGTCCAATCTCAACTCGGTCCGATGCGTATGCGATTAGATTCGATGCAGCGTGTAGATGTGATGGTGGATCTGAGGGGCATTTGGCGTGCTGGACTCGACGGGTATGGCTGTAGTCTCGGTGAGATTCCACGGCCACGCCTCCTGAGCCTCGTGTGGTGGAATCACGAGATCGGCCCATCGATCCGAACTGTAGCTGTGGCAGAGCCAGACACCGCCCCTGCTGACCAGCGCAGCTAAATGGATGCCCAAGATCTGAATGGTGGGTATCGCCCTGTCATGCTGCGCTAGTTTGCGTATCGCCGGATGAACGTTCGAGTCCAAGCTGTCCAGATGGAGGTCTTGACCGGTTGATATCGAATCGGCAGTGCTTTTGTCCAGCACCACATCGAAGCCGCCCTGCATCTCGCAGACTTGACTCCAATCCAACAGGTCGAGCACCTTGTACTGCATGACTTGGTCGGCATGCTTGATGGATTCGAGCCACTGTCGTTCAGCTGTGCATTGGAACTCGATGCTTCGCGGTGCAAAGTCGACGTTCATCACTCCCGCTGCTCTGGAGCAATGACCGTCTTGAGCGTGAAAGTACCGGGCAAGGTCAAGCGATAGCGACGACGTGCCGACTCCAATGTGAAGAATCTTGGGAGAGGAGGAGGCTAGGATGGATGGTGGGATGGAAGAGAGCAGCGAGGAGGAGGACGAGAGCCACTCGAACCCAGCTGCTTCGCGTGGATCCGTGGCGAAGCGGGCGTTCCAGTACGACGACGTGTGGTACGATAACGCTCCTCCCACCCCCTTGGAGGGCCGTGAAGACCCGCAAGGCTGTGAAATCATCGTATCCTGGAGGATGTAGCGAATGCAGGGAAAGCAGTGAAGGTCCGAAGCGGTTCAGGGTCCATGTGCAAGACCCACTTTTTTTGCGTATCCGCATCCCGAACTTGCGACATCAGCCCGTAGCACCGACCTTGGATGCTTGGCATGATCCTGCTGCGATGCCGAAACGGTCACCAGTGCCAACCAAGCTCGAGCGAGTGAGCAGCCAAAAAGAAAAGTGAAACTGCAGCACCTAGGATTCCCGCGTG